GAGACGTGGACTGAAAAAAGAAAAATACATGTTGAGTCTCTCATTTGCTTCCTTTTCATCAACTTCCCCAATATACCTTCACACAAACACACCACGAAGAATTGTCTGTCATTGCCGTTGCCATCCTTTTCTCCATTGGCGGTCATCAACTCTCGTGCTAAAACAGTTAAAAAAATGTATATATATTTCTGAATATAATGATCGTATATTTCGGTATCCATCTTCACCCAGCGGTTCTCTGTTCGACTTTGAGCAGCAGAATCTCACATTTGGTTCCGATATCAACATACATGCATCATATATATTAGCAACAGACTGCTCTTTCTAAATTAAAATATTTTAAATTAAAATATTAAAACATCGTAATGTTAATTTCACATGATAAAAGGAATGAGAACAGACAGAATCTGACGAGATTAAAAAACAAATGGAAAGAGAAGGATACAAAATTCAAAACAATTTTATTCAGTGGTCTAAAAGGAGCATTGCCTTTAAACACAATGTTTTTCCAACACAGAAATCAAAACAGGGAGCAAAACTCCTAAGCAGCAAACACCATTCAATGTCCAACATGATCATCAAATANCTTCATCGATAAAAACGCCGTTTTTAACCAGAGTTGACAAGGACAAAGCCATCAATCAAAAACACGAAATACTAGTTAGCCGGACGGCCCCTCGAGGAACTCCAAGTGGACCTTGAGGCACCACCACCAAAGCTAGGCCTTTGGCGTTCATCCCGCCAATTTTGAGGTGCTCGATTTTCTTCGGCTGGCCTGTTGCCGGACCATTTGTCGGCAGTTTCAGGAGGTGGGCCCTCAGAAGCCACTCTTTTGAACCTCGGCACGTACTTTCCAGCTGCCGGTGGTGCTGCTGCCTCCACAGGTGGCTGCTCGGAAGTAGTCTTAGGAGGAGCAATTGGGGTATTTGATGGTGTGGACCTCCCCAGGATTTCTTCCCTGCGCTGCCTCTCTTTCTCCTCCAACTCCCTCTCCCTCTGCCTTTGCTTCTCGGCTATTTCGTCAAGCTTTGCTTTTCTCTCAGCTTCTTCTTTCTTTCTCCGCTCCATCTCTGCCCAATATGTCAAATTACTATTATGTAACCAAATTTTTGAAAAAAAAAATGATATCTTCATAATTGTTGATACTGAAAAGAAAATTGGTCGGTTTTTACCTTCGCGCTTGCGAGCTTCCTCCTCTTCATGCAACCTTTTCTGCCTCTCCTCTTCGCATCTCAAGAAATATATCAGCTTCCTATTCGCCTCGCGTTCTTCTTTCCGTGTCTGGATAATACTGGCCACCATCTTTTCTCTATCGGCCTTAAGCGACTCGTATTTGGATTTCCGAAGGTTCAGCACTCGTTCTTGGAATATTTTCTGTCAAACGTACGCATGTTCCAGCCAAAATTAGCCCCATAAAAAAATGAAGTCCAATGTGTTATAGTTCTGGAATGTCAACTGTAATATACATATCTACAAATTTCTAAAGAAAAGAAAATGAAGGGTTAAAACTGTCATGTGGAAAACATCCTCAGATTTTTCAGTAATTCCACAACTCCTTTAGAAGTTTCCGTAGTTGCACGTAATCTTCACAAGTTATCTGATCATCCCATGAAAAGTAAGGAAACAAAGACCAGATATTAAGCGAGGAAATAAGGACAAAAACCTTGTTTTCCAACATCCTGCTTAGCCTCCGTTTTTCCTCAAGATCACCAGCATGCCGCTGTCGGCTTGCATGGACTTCTCTCTGTATCAAGATTAAATAAGATAAGCAAATACACACTATCACAGAAAAACACACACAATTCAAAAATCAATCCATAGCAATGCAAAAATTCAAGTGCAGCTTCAGAATAAGAAAAAGAAAGCCTCTTTCTTGCATTAAAATTAAAGACAAATTATAAATGGATATATTCCTGCACAAAACAAGATTCCTGATTCAAACCTGCTGTTCAAGCTCGTGTAAAGCCTCTTCTTCAACTAACCGCCGTTGGAACGCAGCTTCAATAAGTGGGGCTGCCTCCTCTCTTTTTGCCCTCTCCAAGTAATCCATGGTCTTGCCGAGTTTCACTAATTTCTTCTCCATCTCTTGCTTCTCCTTGAGTAAATCATTACGAGCAAGCTCCATCAACTCCTCCCTTGTTAAATTTTCCTGAATCCAAATGAAATTAATTAAAGAAATCATTCAGATCTAAAAATATAATGGAGAAACTAAATGTAGAGATCAGCCAGCCAACTCACTCCCTCTAACACAGGTTTCTTTCCTTTCTTCTTATTACGATTTTTAGCTTCTAGCAGCAAAGTTTGAGCTTCTTCCATTGCACGCTCCTCGATTTCCCTCCGAATTCTTTCATTCTTCATTTGCTCAAATTCAATGGCAAGCCTTTTCTGTTCCGCCTCCTCAGTTATCTTCTGTAATTTCAGCCTCTTGGCTTCCTCTTCTCGTTCCTTCAGCAATCAAAAGCAACACAACAAAATTAGATATCTTCAACACCTCTTATTTAACAAAACAACTAGCAAATGCAACAAGAAAATGAAGCTAAATAAGCCATACCATTTCTAAAAGCTGGCGTTCTTGTTCTTCTTTGCGCTTTTCAATTATTGATTTGCGAGCAAGAAGTCGCTTGTGTTCTTTCTCAACCACTTCCACCAAATCTGTAAGCGTTTCCCCCAATTTTGAGACTCTCTTTGCAGGAGGATAGATCATGACCCTTGCTTTGCCAA